TTAGCATAATGTTGTTTACTGGTTCAGGTGTAAGGATATTTTCTTTATATTGAGATGTAACCCATACTGAAGGCTGTAGTCTTGATCATCATCAATAAGTGCTTCAGGTCCTTTTTGCTTTCAACAAGTGAGGCTCCATCATCTGCATATCTGTAGTTTGTGAATAAGTCTTTCTCCAAATCTAATATTGCACTATTCTTCCTACGGTTCAGCTTCTTGGATTATTTGCACAGCATAGAGACTGAATAAGTATGGTGAAAGACTACCATCCAGACGTTTACTTTCCCTGATTTTAAACTATGCAATACCTATTTGTTCTATTTGAACAAATGCTTCTTAATCTATGTAGAAGCTCCACATGAGTGTGGAATTCTGTAATTAAAGGTCTGGAATTCCCATTCTTTGCAATGTTATCCATAATTTATTATTTACAGAGTTAAATGCCTTTGTCTAGTCAATAAAACAAAAGTAAACATTTTTCTGATAGTCTCTGTCATCAGCCAAGATTCATGTGACATCAGCAATGATATTCCTTGTTTGCTACATCTTTTTCTGAAATTGCCTTGAATTTATGGCAATTCTCTGACAAAGTATTGCTAAGACCAATTTTTTGGTAGCTCCTTTCCAATAAAATAGAGATGTCGAAAATATAAGTTGACACGATATGATCACAAAAGAGTTAAAGATGTTTCCATGTTAACAGAAAAAAACTTATTAAAAGCCAATGGTTAGTTCTCCTTTTCACTCTTCAAAAGTTTCCATCTCAACAGTAATACAAGCTGCTTCAGAATGATTAAAAAAGATGAAGTGTAAAAAATGGCTGTTAATGTGCTTTAAATAGGGAGCTCCTGTGGCCTAATAGGTAAAGAGGTGCACTGCCAACCCAAAGGAAAGTGGTTCAAATCCACTAGCTGCTCTTCAGGAGAGAGACACATAACCTTCTCCTGTGCAATCTGCAGTCTCTGAAAGTCCACTGGAGGGTCAGCTATGAGTCCGTTCCAATTCAACAGCAATGAGTGAATGTTGTTGTTATGTGCCGTCGAGTCGCCTGTGACTCATAGCGACCCTATGTACAACAGCCCTAAACTCCGCTCTGTCCTGTGCCAATCGCACTGTCTCTGACACTCCCATCCCAATTATCCCAG